TGATTCAGTGAATACCAAACTCAGTCCTAGGCTCTACCTCAATGTCAAGTAGCCATGACTTGCATCCAGGCATAATTTTTCAAAACCATCCTAAAATGTAGGAAGAATCTCAGTCTCCCTCACCAGAACACACACATATTTTCCCTCTGGGCTTAAATGTTCAAGTTGATCATTTCAATAGGTTGTATGCAAAAGGTAAATCTTAAATGTAAATACTATAGGTTTGCAATTAGAAGAAAACAAAAACTACACATATGACCTTGTGAGATGGCCCTGAAACACAAAATTGGTAATTAGTAAGCTTCCATCCACAAGTGAATCAAATTGAAGATTAGTGACTAGATAACACCAAATGGATATTTCACATCATTTGTGTGTTTGTTGAAAAATTGTCCGCATAATCTACCCATATGTATCGAGTTACTGCTATGACAGAACGCTAAACTTGGCTGTGTTCAATACACCACAGGTTGTGAAATTAGAAATATACATCTAACTATATGCCACATGGATTGCTTCCAACCTCAAATGTATCACTGAATATTCATTCAACTCTATTTAAATTTATCTGTTAAATGAAATTTATTATTTTCTTTTTTTATGCATATATACTAGTAAATCTGCTTCTAGCTTCAAAATAAAATGAAAACTAAAAAAGACAAGAAATAAAAAGCTATGAATAAAAGGCTCTAAACTGCTGGTATAAAAGCAAATTATTTTAAGAGATTAAAAGTACAAATTCCAGATGTCATAGGTTTTCTCTTTAGAATGTCCAAGGGTTAGATCTGAATATATGTATTTTTAAAAGATTTACATGTTATAAAAGTGAATTTCAGCTTCAAAGAAATCACCAAATGACATCAACTAGTGTAGAACATACTTCTATTGCATGGGAAGATGTGAATTTATAAAATCTTCCACTAATACTCATTTTGCTTTTAGCAGATTATGACATCTTAATCTTCAACACCAGTCTACTGTCTACTTGACAGTTTAACAACTTCCCACATTGCTACAACTGGTAAAATCTCTGTAACATTCTAGCAGTGGCATGTTAGCTCAGACTGAAAGGATCTTGGCATTTCTGTTCTACTGCAGTGCACAACCTCCACACTTTGGACATATAAAAGACCATCCTTCCTCTATCACTGTTTTGTGAGATGTGCTAGCCACATTTGAGCAAATGACTTGTTTATCAAGACTCAGTTTCATAGTTTACATGATAGAGATAGATGATGAATAGAAAGATGATAGATAGATAGATAGATAGATAGATAGATAGATAGATAGATAGATGATAGATAGATAGATAGATAGATGATAGAGATGATAGATTCAGATTATAGTTAGATATGACAGATAAATGTGTGATAGCTCTGTGTGTGTGTGTGTGTGTGTGTGTGGTGTGTGTGTGCGCACGTTCATGTCTGTATGTGTGATGGCGTGAAATAAAACTTAGGACTCATACCATACTGAGTTCTTCTAACTTGCTTTAATTTCTGAAACTCACCCCAGATGGAGGAAGTAAAAATTCCTGTGGGTGAGGCATACAAATGTACACTTTATATCAGCTGCTCTGGCAACTCCCTTGCATACCTGTTTACACAGCCCCTTAGATGTTCTCTGAGATCTCTTCAAGTCCGTGTTTCTGTATTAGTAAACCATCATTCAAGGATGACATTGCTCAACCTCTGTTCGTTGCTCTAATTGCTAAGAACTGCATTTATTTTCTCATTCTCTTCTGTCTTTTTGGTCCTGAGAATCAGATTCAGGACTTTGTGTTTGCTGGGCATGTTCTTGTTCTGCTGAGCTGTAACACCAGCCTTCCAAATTCTCTCCTAACTTACACGTTTAATTCATTTCTATTCCTCAGCATGAGTTACTGTTGGCTACTGGAATGTTCCTGCTTGGTTGGAGAAGCTATTTCTTGCAGCAATGCTTACTGTAAGGAACCCTTCTCCACTGTTTCTAAGAGTGTAGACTGGCACAACCACCAAGGAAATCATTATGGACATTCCTCAAAAAACTAGGTTTAGTGGGGCCAGGGAGATAACTCAGCTGCATAACCTGCCTGGCAAGCGCAAGGTCCTGAGTTTGATCCCCGGTGTGTGGTCCCTCTCCTCTCCCCTCCCCCCAAAAAAAAACAGGATAAGAGGTCCCATTCAACCCATCTGTTCCCCTCCTAGGTGTTTTTCCAGAAGAACTGAAAACATCATGCCTCAGTGGTATATGTACACCCATATTTATAGCAAAGCAATTTGTCATAGTTGAATCTTGGAAATAAACTAAACTACTGTCAACTGGGGAATGGATAAAAAAGATATGGTAGTCTTGTACACTGGAATATTACTCAGCTATAAAAAAGCTAAACTCACAATTTTTATGTGTAATTTTTTTTTAATTTTTATAATTTTTTAACCAATCTTGCATCCTTATAATCTGGTAATCCAAACAACTAATTTGAAGACAACAAAATGTAATATAACAACCACTGTTGAGCTGGGGAGATGGCTCTGTGGTCTAAGCACCTGCCTGGTAGGTGTAAGGACCAGGGTTGGATTCCCAGTACTGCATGCCATACCAGGCCCAAAACCAGGTGTGGTGGCAAATGCCTATAATCCCAGCGCTGGAGAAGCTGAGACAGGAAATCACTATGAGTCCACCCTGCGTAGTCAGACCCAGTACTAAATTTAAAAATATGAACTAATTAAATAAATAAATATTTTTTAAACCATTGTTGAATTCCTATCATTCTGCTTAGTAAAATTCTGTATTGTTTCTAATAATATTTTTTTTACTATTTTTACTCTCTTCAAAAAATACAAATAATAAAATAATGTTTACTGTTATTGAAAAAGAAAAGAGGATCTTAACTCGATACCCTTGAAATTTATGCCTTCTGACCTTTTTAAAAAAGATATGTGTTTTCTGGCATAGTGGTCCATACCTGTAATTCTAGCACTTGGGAGGCTGAGGCAAAAAGATCATTTTGAATTCAAAACCAGCCTGGGCTACAAAGTGAGCTCAAGACCAGCCTGAACTGCATAAGAAGACCATGTCCCAAAAAGAAAAAAAAATGTGTTAAATGAAATATGATAGAAATAGTATTCTCTTCTAGGTAATCTCTCCAAATAGCTTTTATATTTGTAACTAGCAAAACTATGTGTGATATAACCACTTGGAGGTACAGAGTTCAGCCAAGTCCTCTATCACTAACAGTACTGGTGCTAAACATAAAATGTATTCAACAGGAGGACTGAGATACTTTTTATTTTGCTTACAAAAGGGACACTGTCTTCTTCTGTAAAGGAACATAGACAATGTCTTCAGAAATACTCATTCATTATAGCTCATCACCTTTAAGAGTTAAGCTCACTACCAGAGAGATTCTATAAAAATAATGAAGCTTCCTATCATTGTTTTCAATGTGAAAGTAATGAAGTTTCCTATCATTGTTTTAATGTGGATTTTTCTAAGCTAAAAAAAAAAAATACCTGAGCCAGCCAGATAGCTCAGCAGATTTAAAGTGCCTGCTTAGGCAGATGCAGGGACCAGGGTTCAATCCCCAGTGTGCTGTGCCGGTCCCACCCCCAGGCACACTAAGACAATGATTGAGACTGGGTGTGGTGTCACGAGCCTGTAATCTCAGTGCTTGGGAGGTTGAAAACAGAAGGATCACTACAAGTCCAATCTGTGTAGTGAGACCCTGTAGATCCTGTACTAAATACATTAAAAAATAAAATAAATAAAAAGAAGACACCTTATATGATTTGTTATATAGGATTCATCACTTTACCCAAGACAGTGTCAGAATCCCAAAGGATGTGCATACTTGTTAAATAATATCCCAGGGTGCTTAAATAGGAGACAATGTACTTTATTCTACAGTGACTAGTCCCTGTAAAAGAACACTGTGAGTTTAGTGTGCACCAGCACTGTGTTATGGTTTGTGTCTCATAATCCTCCCAAAGTCTCATGAAGTCACTGAGGCAACTTCTAGAATTTGTGATTAATTCATGATCCAGTGCAGAGATTAGGAATGTGAGTGCTACACCCACCTTGGGGTGGGTAATGTGCATACAACATAAGGAAGGGAGAGCGGCTTGGGCTTGCTACCTTCCACAGCCACTGCTCCTCCCTTTGCTCTTTGCTGTTTTCTACCACCATGAACTGCTCTCCTCAGCCATGTGCCGCTCTGCCTCGGAGCCAGCAGAGTATGGACTGAAACCTCCACTAACTGTGAGGCAACTAAACCTTTCCTTCCTTAATTTGGGGTGCCAGGTGTTTGGTCCCAGCAACAAGAGAGAAGTAACTATGACATATTAGAATAACCAAAAGTTTCTCCTGTTTTCTTGGGAAGGTGAGAAAAGACAAGAAGGATTCATGAAGCTACTGGCATGTGGTTGGATGTTCTACTAAAAGCTGCAATTCTGAAAAATCCCTTTCTTCTCCCTGTCCCTTCACAACCTGTATATTAACTGATTCACAGTTTGTACAAAGTTCAAATAGAAAACCTTTTTTCAGTACTCTTGACAGTTTATCACACAGGATTAAAGATTATTTGCCTGTCCTTGCTTATGATACTTGTTTGTGAGAACAATAAATCTACCTCCCCAGCACTCAGCGCATTAGAAAATAAGTACATACAAAGAAATAAAACTGCATTCAAGAATGAGATTATGTAAGCTGAGACAAATTTATTGAGAATTTGAGAGACACATCCACAATTTCTTCAAGGCAAGAGGCATGAGTGTATCTCAAAAATAATACTTGTCGACTTAGTTGCCAAGATTTTAAAATTGTCCCAACAAACATCATCTGAGGACATCATCTTGAGGCATCGTCTGAGTTGGCAGGATCCTCTTTGGAATTCGAAGCTAGGTCTGGAAAGCAGCCACTTGGAGGTTGTTCAGCAAATGAGTGCGAAAGAGCAAGGACCTGGAGATGTGCCACTGGACCTTCGTAGGAGAGAAGATCCTATGCCTCGGAGACTTCGGAAATTAGTAGAGAGCAAATGGCCAGTAGCGCCTGTAGTTATAAATCCCAGAGCCATTATAACCATAGCCAAGGCCATAGCCCACTGGGGAATAGGTGCTGCCATAGCCACAGCCAACGCTGTACCCCAGTGGGTAGCCATAGCTGCCCCAGTAGCATCCGGGGAAGTCAGCGCTAGAGAAGTTGTTGAAGTACATGGTGTTGGGAGTGGAGGGTTTAGGCAGCAGAAGAAGATAGTGTGATGGATTCTCAAGTCTCAGAACCCTCTTTATATACCCTGGCTCTGAGGTGTGGTAGAAAAATATGAGGCCTTCATTTGCATTGTTGACACCAATTTACCCTACCAAAAGCTCATTAATTTGTTTTGCTCTTGCATAAGACTCCTCTCATGTGACATAATGCAGGGAGATGGTTCCTTCAAACAAAGTAGCACCTTGCTAAAAAAAAAAAAAATTATTGCAGTTACTTCAAAGCACTCAGTCTTATAGACCCTACATATAATTCTCTGTAAGTAGGCTTTAGTAACGCCAAGAAAGATTCTGATGTTGTTGGCTCTTATGTGGCCTTCTCACTCTCTGATTTTCACAACAATGCAGAGTTGGAATTAAATAAATATGTGTTGGATTCATTAATATGAAATAATAAATAGATAATTGCTCCTTCTCAAAAATCAAAGTAATTCTTAGTATATACTTGCTTAAAGAATTGTCTTTTTCGAGGATTCAGAACAAATGCTTTAGGGCTTACATTTCTTCTTTAAAATTTTCTATCTGTAACTACTTTATATAGGAAACTGATTTATATATTAATATTAATTGTAGTTATCACTGGAACTATAACTTATATCACAGTTCTAATCCACTGCTTGAATTAATAATCTTATAATTAAAAATAGTGCACAGCTCAATCCAAAAACTGTCATACAGGTGTGATCTGTTGATCAAATATACTTTTAATACTAAATATAAAAAATAAAACATAAGAAAAAGATGAGTGAGAGATTTTCACTTAAAACGTAGACTATTTTTCCATTGCAACTCACAAGGCCAGGTTATCTGAAAAATACAATGATCTTGTGAAAGGTCAGATGAATATTAAGTTAATATCACTTCATTTTTAGACTGATTGTGTACCCCAGGATACAAAAGAAGAAAGTCATTCCCCTTGAAATAGAGATTTAGGGGGCAGGGGAGATGGCTCAGTGGAATAAGCACTTCCCTGGTAAGTGCAAGGGCTTGAGTTCAATCCCCAGTTCTGCCAAAGGAAGGAAGGAGGAAGGAAGGAAGGAAG